GAGAGAGAGAGAGAGAGAGAGAGAGAGAGAGAGAGAGAGAGAGAGAGAGAGAGAGAGAGAGAGAGAGAGAGAGAGACAGACAGACAGACAGACAGGTATTCATGTTAGTTGACAGATCACGTGCTCGAATCTCTATCGACGCAAAAGGATACAGTAATAAGGTAAGGGGTTACCCCCTTGGTTAGCGAAGAAAGAGAAAGATGGGCCCTTTATTTGTCTGCTGATGTCAGACAGCAGCTGGAAAATGTGAATCCCACCAGAAAAAAATCAGTCTTGGCGGGCCCCTTTGGTGTTTACTTGCTATAAGGCAAATGGCATCGCGAATGTGGACTGGTATTTTGACCAGGTTAGCGATAAGTGTCCCCACTGCATATGCAAAAATGGACCCTCAACCTTGATTGTGTTTAGGGGGGGCCTGGTTTGGGAGCCGTGAATGCTGCTGTGGTCGGTGTTGTGTTGGCTGGCGGAAGGGTTCGTTCAAAGGAGGAGGAGGAGGAGGAGGAGGAGGAGGAGGAGGAAATGGACTTCGATGGAGTGATATGTTGTGGAGTGGAATGATCTTTGTCTTTTTCACAACAGATGGGTGCTCGAGTGAGTACACGGAGGAGGAGATTCTGGAGATGGTTGTGTTTAAGGGTGGGAGAAATAGGAAGAACACACACATTGGGGGGGGAGGATAGAAAGGGGCGGACTATACCTACCTAGGTGTAGGGCATGGGAATCTGGGAGCCTTCCATTGAACATCGTGGGCCTTCTCTTTGGGTGGCTGTTTGCACAGGTCGAAGGGTGGGCAGGGCTTTTTCTTGTCGGTTTGGTCTTGCAGCCAAGTGGGGGTTTGTCTGGAGCTGAACCTGGACGTCAGGTGTAGCCAAGTGGGGGTTTGTCTGGACCTGAACCTGGACGTCAGGTGTAGCCAAGTGGGGGGGTTGTCTGGACTCTGAACCTGGACGTCAGGTGTTCTTCTCAGCACCAAGTGAGCAATACCTCTGTGATTAGCCCTCCCTTTTCTTCGGAGGACGTCCAAGTTGAGACGGATCTGAACCTGGACGCCAGGTGTAGCCAAGTGCTTTCAAAACGACCCAAAAATTGAAGAACATCCATCTTTTTTGGCAGCCGTGGGGCGGGAACTCTTCAACTCTTTCGCCAGCAGCAGCACTCGTATTTGCATGCCATTCTCGGATATGCTTGAGTACTTCAGTGCTCATTCTCCAAGCGATCTGTGTCGACACACCAGTGGAGAGGGAGGGGGGGAGCGGATAGCAGTTTGTCCCCTTAGGCGACAGGTAGAGAGAGTAATCCCTCCTTTTGGGGCTTTGGACTGGCCACTGGCTATGGTGAGGCTATGCATGTACGATGGGTAGAAATTTGTCCCCTTGTGTCACAAAACGCTGGCTTCAAATTGTTATACCCTCGTTTGTCTGTCGTTGCTCTTTGTCTTCCGTTTGAATAGGATTTCTACTGCGACTCACTCGCACACTTCTCTGTCTGTTGTTGGCCTTTGTGTTCCATTTGAATTGGATATCTACTGCTGTGACTCGTATACTTGTCTTCTCTCTCTTTTTTTGTCGCTCGCTCGATAGCGGCCGCAGCACAGCGATGGAAAGGACTGTAGTTGCCGTCCCTGACCAGAAAACGGTAGTCCTTGTGAACACGTTTATTGTGCGCTCGGTTGCGTTCATAAATCGTTTCGCAGCGATCTGCGACGAGAGGCTAGAGCAGGTCAATCGGAAGATCCACCAGCTTGATACCACGCTATCGCTTCTGGAGGCAAATCTGTCGAGTGTCGGCCGTGCTGCTGACGCTCACAGGTCAACCGATCGGCTAAGTAGAGCTTCCGCGCTGAGCAAAACCTCCGCCGATGCAGATGACAGATCGGCCGCTCGTCTCTCAGATCAGCGGACCGACAAGAACAGTCCTGCCGATTCGTCATGCAGTGGGAGGCCGGCCACGGCTTCCTTGGAGAGGTCGTTCTCAAGCACCTCCTCCTTTGGCGAGAGTGCAAAGTCGTCATCGCATTCGCTGGCGCAAAAGCCGGGGGAGGGGTCGGTGCCTGCAAACGCACCCAGAGCCATAGATCATCCCCCACTACAGCGCTTCTTCCGAATGGCTCGCGTAGGCGTGCCAGAACAGGCCATTAAGATGCAAATGTCCCTCGAAGGATTTGACCCGGGTCTTCTCGATAACCCCAACGCTTTTCTGCCAGCGGCTACGCAACATCGCTAAATGTTAGCGTAGGCGGGATGGCAGAGTTGGAATGCGAGGAGGGTAGGCGGGATGGCAGAGCTGGAATGCGAGGAGGGTAGGCGGGATGGCAGAGCTGGAATGCGSGGAGGGTAGGCGGGAATGGCAGAGCTGGAATGCGAGGAGGGTAGGCGGGATGGCAGAGCTGGAATGCGAGGCGTCGTGACCACCCAGCTCGTGTGGCTGAATGAATGGTACGCACCTGTCACTGTTAGCAAACAGAGGATGAGTTCGAATCCGGAAAGACAAATACAGTAATGCTAGGTGCTACCCTTTTTTGAAAAGAAAAGGAAGAAGCATGGTGGAACTCGCACCCTGTATACTCATTTTCTCGCCCTGCCCTGCCCTGCCCTGCCCTGCCGGTGTCAACGTTGCGATGTATTCTGCTCATGTGCAGAAATGTGTGCTCTTTTGATGTTCACCATGTCAAAAGCCTTTTACAATGACAGCAGGATGTGCCCACACATTCGTCCATGTGTGTGTGTGTGTGTGTGTGTGTGTGTGTGTGTGTGTGTGTGTGTGTGTGTGTGTGTGTGTGTGCATGTGTGCGTGTGCGTGTCCAAGCCTCGGCACGGATTGGCTTACGGGTCGGGCGAGGCTCGGAGCTGGGCCAAGTACTGGCGGTTTACCACCGGGCTTGTCCTATCTTATCCCCTTATTCGCCCGTATTGGATCCTCCTCCGCCGCCTCCTCGTGTTTAAATACCTCCCTTCTTATTCTTGCTCCTCTTCCCCTGGTCGTCCTCTGTCCCAGTCAGTGTCCACTACCCTTCTTTAACCTTGATCCTGTTTTTATTTCCTTCCACCTCGCTTTCTTATTAAACAACCCTCCTACGTCTCCTCTTTCCTCCCTGTTCTCCTCAAACCCTAAACCCTAACCTCTGATCTAACTGCTGTTTTTCTTTCCCCCTTTTTTGCCTTCCACTTAAGGCTTCTGTCCTTGTCTTGCTTACTGATTCCCCAGATCTATTCTGTGAGGAGAGGGTGACTATAGAGGCCGCTCGCCCTTGCACTTCGTCTATTCTCTCACCCTGATTGGTCTCCCCCGTTGCCGCCTCCCGCTGTTCCCCCAATAATGACGTTTGCAAGTGGAAGATTAGCTGAGGCCCCTCAATTGATTTGGGACAGGGGTCGACCCCGTTGCCGCCTCCTGCTGTCCCCCCCACCCAATGACATTTGCCAATGGAAGATGAGTTGAGGGCCCTCAATTGTGAGTTACACCTGGCAGAGGGTAATTTGCACGGAATGCTTCTTGATTTCCTGGGCCCTCTCCGCCTTGCTCTGCATAGGTTGCCTTGCTCTCTTCCATCGTGCTCTGATGTCGGTTTCTAGCAGGCTGAGCAGGAAGGATGTCCCATGCGTCCCACCTGTGGATTGGGTCGTCCCTCGATTGTGAGCTGGCATCTCCTCTTCCAAATGGTCCACGCGGCGTACCGCGTTAATAAATGAACGATTCTCTTCTCTGGCCATTTTGCCTGTTCTTTGGTAATTCTGCTCCCATCAGGCTCAGGTCACTATGTCCTCTGGGAATGGGTGGTGGTTTGACAGTCTTCCGGATGGTTTTGGGTGGTGGTTTGACAGTCTTCCAGATGGTTTTCATCTGTTCCCATACTGACTGAGCCTCCTTGCAGGTTAGCAGACTATGGGACATCGTGTCCAGTACCTGTTCATTGCATACTACACTTTGCTCTTGTTATGGGTCTCTGTGCGCTTGTGTCCTGCGATGACCGGGCATTCTATTTCGGGTGAAGGCGGTAGCAAGTGTGGCCACAAGCATAGCGCCAGTGGGGCCTGTCCCATACGTCTGCAAACACATCCGAATGACCATGGAACTGAAATATATGGTCGATAGTTATGTCTCTCTCTCTCTCTCTCTCTCTCTCTCTCTCTCTCTCTCTCTCTCTCTCTCTCTCTCTCTCTCTCTCTCTCTCTCTCTCTCTCCTGCGAGTGTACATAGTCGGGAATCAATTGTGTATAGATACATAGTCTGCAAAAAAAAACACGTTTGCGTAACTTTAGGGAATCTGTGGTGCACGTGTGTGTACACAGTGTGCGAACACGCTTGTGTAGCTAAAGTACTCTATTGTGCATAGTGTGCAAATGTGATGTGTGTACGCAGTCCTGAATGCATTGCGTGTACATAGTCTGCAGACGCGTTTGCGTATGTATACTTGCGTAGTGTGGAAAGTTGTGAACAAACAAATCCGAGTGCGGATGCAAATGCATAGCAGTCTGGAAACACATCTCAGTGAAATTCGAGTGTCTGTGCAAATGGAACCTATCATGGTTGATACTACTTGATGATGATGATGATAGTAAGTATATGTGGCTCTACTGTCTTTGTGTGTGTGTGTGTGTTGTCTGTGTTTGTGTGTGTGTGTTGTGTGTGTGTGTGTGTTGTCTGTGTTTGTGTGTGTGTGTTGTGTGTGTGTGTGTGTGTGTGTGTGTGCGCGCAAGTGTGTGTGTGTGTGTGTATGTGTGTGTGTTGTGTGCGCACTTGCTTGTGATGATGGGTGCGTCGAATGGCATGGCAATTTCTTTCTATATGTTGATCTCTGTAGAAGTATTGGTGTTTCCGTGTCGTTCATGAAATGAACTTAAGTGCAAAGTCGGCTGGTCGAGGAGGAGGGCTAAAGGTATGGGCCATGGCATCGACGTCGCTGTCCGCATCTGCCAAGCGCATCCACAAGGAACTTGCGGAGATAAGTTTGAACCCGCCGCTGAATTGTTCGGCAGGAGCAAAAGGGGACAACATTTACGAGTGGGTTGCAACGATTATTGGACCTGCAGACTCGCCATATGAAGGGGGCATCTTCTTCCTGGACGTCATTTTCCCTCCCGATTATCCGTTTACGCCACCCAGCGTAGCTTTCCGGACACGAATCTACCACTGCAATGTCAATAGCAACAATGGCATGATTTGTTTGGACGTTTTGAAAGACTGCTGGAGTCCCGCGCTGACAATCTCCTCCGTTTTGCGCTGCATCCAATCTCTCCTCGTTGAGCCTAATCCCGACGACGCCCTCGTGGGGTCGATCGCACGGCTGTTTGTGACAGATCACAATGCTCACGACCGGGTGGCGGCAGATTGGACACGGCGATTTGCTGTCTGACCATGCGCTCGTCCAATTCGTTCTGCATCCGATCTCTCCTTCTTGTTGAGCCGCAACCTGACGAGGCGCCAGTTTCTATCAATCGCATGCGCCAGTTTCTATCAATCGCATGGATGTTCTTGACAGCATCGTGATTCGCACGACCGTAGGGTGGTGGCGATTTGAAAACGGCAGTTTGCACTAGGAACGCTTGTTCACTTTGCACGGCGCCTGATCTCTTTTTGTCGAAAAGCCCATTTGTGATGCTGACATGCTAGCTCGGTCAATCGCACTGCCGCCCATGACAGTGTCGTGATGCTCATGACCGTGTCGGCGGGGAGCTCGGACACCACGACAGCTTGGTTTGTGAACACTGGCACCTGCCTGCGTCGGGACAGGGGAAGAAGAAGTAGAAGACGGTCTCTTGCGTGATCGACATCGGCAATCACTGCCAATGTGAATTCTACTGAGACTGTGATCTCACACTCAGACTTTCCTGAACGCATCCGACGGCAATTACGGCCCGTCGTGGATGTATTTGACCACATTTACATCTGAAGATTATTCCGGAAAGTGCTACCGGTAGTGTGAACACACCCTAACTCTTCATTTGTGAGGAGACAGTCTCTCTTCAATGTGCATCCGTTGCCGAGTTTTATCTGTCTAAGAGCATAGTAGAATAACTGGGCCTTTGGCGGCCCGTTGCTGAGCCCACTCATTCAAAGGATTATCCATTCCGCGATGTTGGCCAGTGAAGGCGACATAACTTGAGGCTCGCCAAGGTGTCGTCCTCACAATCAATTGAGCAAGCTCACAGGTCGCCTTACTCACTGCAGCTGTGGCCTATTCGGGATGTGTCGACTAATTTATTTACAGCTCAGTCGGAAAAAGGTCTTAGAGGGGTCTTAGAGGGGTCAGGAGTCTTAGGACACCCTTTCTAAATCTAGAGTTTGAGAACGACTGCTTGTTCGAACCACCACAGCCGTTTACGACTGCCTTGATTATGCGGGGCCCGGGCCCGGGCCCATTTTTTTCTGTCAGTTCGTCAGCCCGTCGACCTATCGACAGCCAGCCATAGGTTTCTTTTCCTGTCAGCAGGCTTTGCCCAAAGTTGTTGTTCTGAAATGACCATTCCTCCCATGCTCTTTATGCGTCTGAAATGATTGCGTTCCCCGTTTGGACTGTTGGAACCTTGGAATGGCCACGATGAATGGAAATATACTCCGGTGGCCGTTAAACTGACATCGAAAATCATGTAGTAGAAAGTTAAAAACCACTGCAATAAACAACTAAAAACCGCTCAAAAACCAACGAACGGAGGGAACTGGAAAACCCAGAACAACCAATGAACCGCACTCCCCCATTCTTCCCTTTTTTTTTTTTTTTTTTTTTTTGTTGTTGTATGACCTCTGCTGTGGCCAGCAAAAGTTTCACCGGAGGAGAGAATGTGAGGGGAGGGAACACCCGAAAGTTTGCTGCTGCTGCTGGTTGTTAATGTTGGTGTTTTTTTTTTTTTTTTTTTTTTTTTTGAAAGGGAATTTTTCTTGGCATCAACATTTGGTTTATCAACAGGGTTCCTTTTTTTTTTCATGGGGGTGTGGACAAGGCTCCTTTCGGTTCATTGTGGTTACGTCAGTACATGTTCCACAAATCTGTACGGATTGTGGCTATGGGAGGAGTCCTGGAGGACTTGAGCTAATGGACCGCAGGCGTCAGGTATGCTGCCGACAACCACTCCCTTTCTCAGTCCTCGTGACTTGTAGAAATGACTGAAAGAGAAGGCTTCTTGGGATCATCGATTGCGTTATCGACAAAGGTTGTTTTCGGTTCGTTATGGCCGTTTTCTCTGTGTTTCACTACTTCATGAGTGATGCTTGTAGTTATGGGAGGAACTAGAGACCATTTGTGTGGGTGTAGAAATGGCTGAAAGAGAAGGCTTCTTGGGATCATCGATTGCGTTATCGACAAAGGTTGTTTTCGGTTCGTTATGGCCGTTTTCTGTGTGTTACACTACTTCGTGAGTGATGCTTGTAGTTATGGGAGGAACTAGAGACCATTTATGTGGGCAAAAACAAAAAGTTTAACACGTGCCGTGTATCGTGCGTATGTTTTGGCCAACAACCACCCATTCCCTCGAGTCGCTGTGACCTCTGGCTTCCCTCCCCTCCCCTTTCCCCCCCCCTTCCCCTTCCCCTTCCCCTTCTCCTCCCCCTCCCGCGTCACAGTATCTGTCATGAAATGGAGACAAATCAGTAATATACTCGGCTACCAGCCGGCCCGCCGGGCACCTTGTTTGCCTGGGCGGCCCGGCCGTGCAAGGACCGATGAAGGTCCCGGCAAAAAAAATCAAAAAAATCTGGAAAAGAAGTATGTTATGATTCTATGAAGAAAAGTAAACTGATCAACTTTTGCCTCAGGGTCACATCCAAATTCTTTACCAAATTGAAACTAGAAAATAAAATTGAAAATCATAATTTTTTAATTTTATTTATTTTAAAGTTTTCAATTTTTTTTCTCTGCCCCGGCTGCCGGCGGCCGGGCAAGTGGTCCCGGGCCATTCTGGTAGGCTAGCTAACATGTCAGACATATTTAAATGATATTTTATTATTTCCAAATATGGTAATCGGCATGATTGGTTATGTCTTCTTGTGTGTCCTCCCCCCTTCATCATCCTCACCAGCATCTTCTGGTGGTTGCTGTCGTCAAGTGGATCTTATCATTGTCATTTTGGCCTCAACACTGCCATCGTTTGTTGCTGTTGCTGTTGCTGTTGTTGTTGTTGTCGTTGTTGCTGAGGAGATAATTATCACCATGCTTCTCTGGTGAGTTGATGTGATGGAAATCACCCGCCTGGTAATAAAAGTTCTGTGAGTTATGTGGAACTGCATTCTTTGTCATCATGGGGTGAGAAGTTGAGGCACATGACTTTTGTTGCATCCCTTCAGGCAGGCAGGCAGGCAGGCAGGGCACAACAGAAAAAATGGGAATTCCCAGTTTCGCTTTTGACGATATGCAGATCAGCGCAGCTGATGACCATCACCAAGTTGGTCATTTTTCTGCGGTCTTCTGAAATGCCATGCGCCACAACCTGATTGAGCTGCTTTCTTGCTAAAGAATAATGTAAGGCATACATACATATATACAGCCTCCTGATGAGTCGGTGAAACTCCGACGAAACAGTTTGTCACAGCCCCTCGTTTGTTGTCCTCTTCTCTCTCTCTGCCTACGGTTTACCGGGCAGTTCTGTTTGTGACGATATATATATAGGGTTCAGCCTCCTGATGAGTCGGTGAAACTCCGACGAAACAGTTTGTCACAGCCCCTCGTTTGTTGTCCTCTTCTCCCTCTCTGCCTACGGTTTACCGGGCAGTTCTATTTGACGATACATATATATATATATATATACCTCTTTTCTCTCTCTGCCTACGGTTTTACCGGGCAGTTCTGTTATATATATATCGGTCTGGCTGCTGGATCTGGATCTGTTTGGCGTAGTCTGCAGGCGGTAGAGCGTTCAGCCTCCTGGTCAGTCGGTGAAAACTCCAATGGAACAGCGAGTTACAGCTGCACCTGGTTTGTTGTCCTCTCCTCCCTCTCCGCCTATGGTCGTCCGTAGAGTTCTTTGCAACGATATATTTAATTTAGTGTTCCGCCTGCTGACGAGTCGAGGAAACTCCGACAAAACAGTCTGTCACAGCCCATCATCTGTTGTCCTCTTCTCCCTCTCCGCCGACTACGGTTTCAGGGAGACACAAAGGCGGAAGGCCTCTGTTGAAGTGACGTTTTGTGGGCATGCAACGCCACATTACGGATTATCCTGACGCTCATGCTGGATGGAGTGCGCGTATATGCGTACAGGTAAACTGTAGGCAAGAGAGGGAGAAGAGGACATGCATGAAACGAGGGGCTGGGATGTTCATCGAAGTTCCACGGGCTTGTCAGGAGGCTGAACTCTCTACACTCTGCCGAGTCCCCTAATCAATGAATCAGATGCTGAAAGCGATAATCCACCTTAACCCTGATTGCGGTTATGCATGAACGACTGCCTGGCAACGGAGACCCTGAGGTGGTGGGGACCACCAACCCTAATCGGTGTCCACTCTATTCTGTACACCAGCATCACGAGCCCCACTTGCCGTCCGTGTGACCCGCGACTGGACTGTTTTTCAAGCAGGGAAAGGTACTGGCGGTGTGAACCGCGAATTCATCCGAGCTTTAACTTTTGGGACTAGCCTCTAGAGTGGACACCAAATTAATTAGAGTTGGTGGTCCCCACCACCTCAGGTGTACTAAATTTTCAGGAGGGTTTTTTCAGGGTCATTATAGCCTTTTCCTTTATTTGCAGTGATTGGACGCCGAGGTTTGAAGCAGATGCAGTGGTTCTTTCTTCTACTGTCTGTCTGTCTTCACCCGGTCGTTAGAGAGCTGCATTTGGGGCCACTTTCAGTCTAGATACAGTGGTAATGGCACGGGGCATACCACTCGGGTGCAGACAGTAGGTAGTGTGCAGGGCAGTTGTGCTGCTGCTGCTGCACACCCAAATAGCTGCACCCAGCTTTCTCCTGGGGCCAGCCAGATTCAGAATATTTCCTTCATCAACTGATATTTTAGGACAAATGGATCACCAGGCAAGACTGTTTGCTACCATCTTTTTCTTCACTTCACTTTTTTCTCCTCTCTTTCCTACGAAAAGGGTGACACACTTCACACTTGACATATCTTCGTCGAGCCGACTGGATCTAAGGGTTTTCTTTTTTTTTTTCTTCTTTTTTTTTTTCCCTGACTGGAGCTAAGGTAATTCAGAAATGATTTAATTCCATTCACCAAGGTCCATCGGGATTTCAACTCCGTTCTGTATTTCAACAGTTTATGGGTGTGTACTACCGACTACGAGCTGTGCTAGGGCTGTCTCTTATACACATCTAGATGTGTATAAGAGACAGCACACACACACACACACACATGTTCCTGTTACTT